TGAGATTTAGATGAATATAATGCGTCATCTATAATCATTTTTGTTTCTTTGAATAAAATCGTAATTGCTCCTCTGGAGCCATCAATTAGTTAAGTATTATTCACTATGATATTGACGTTTCCATTCCTTATTGTTAAACAGTTAAAATATTTTTTATCTTTAAGTATTGTTTGTATTGTAGCACTATCCACGAAACATATATTTTCATTCTTGTGTCCAATGGAAGAAAGAGAGATATGCATATTCTTCAATAAAAGAAAGAAAGTGTACTAAATAATACTTGATAAAATGAATTTTATTCTAAGCAATAATGCTTTTCTTATAAGAAAACAAGAAAGCTAAATAGAAACATAAATAAAACATGAACCAAAATATAATCCAACTTATTCTAATTATTTTTCAACCAAACTTGTCTAATCATAATTTTTAAAGAAATCAAACACCTCCAAGTGTGCTATAGTATTAAGGCTATTAATATCATCCAACTTATTAATACCATCATTTTTGTATGCAAGATTTGCCTCAACATTATTATTTTGAAAAGTGAAATTTGCTTCCATATTGATTGAATTCTTTTTTATAGAGGCTTGATAAATCTTTGCTAGATACTAGGGCGTACGGCAGGTAGTGACCAATGCCCTTTCATACTACATCGATAGCATTGATTTTCAATAGTTTTTGAAGGACTACTCTCATCTCTTTTTTACCCTTTATTAATTTTCTTCTTTTGGTGGATTAGGATTATAATTATTACCGTCACAACTATGATAATAGTAATTACCATGTCCCCTTCCACGACCATGTTGAGGATCACAATCATGACCACGACCATGAGCATGATAATTACTATATATAGTCACGTTTACTTCAGGGAATGGAGTTGATCCAGTGGGATGAATTTCATGACTTTTCATCAACATCTCCTTTTTTTGTTCAACCACAAAAAGATATGAAATTAATTCAGAATACTTTTTAAAACCCTTTTCATGATATTGCTGTTGCAAGAACACATTTGAAGTGTGAAAAAAAATGAAAATGTCTTATCTAACAAGTTTTCATTATTTATTTCTCACCACATAATTTTAATTGAGAATTTATTTTGAAAACTGCTAATCTTACATTTTTAAAATCTTACAACCTCAAATGCATTTATTCATATCGAGTTTTAGGTAAAATTATTATTTCCTAATGGTCATAGCTTTCTTTTAAACTATTCCACAATTCTAGTGGATCTTTTATCGTTAGATACTTAGCTTTTAGTCCTTCATAAAGAAAATGATAAAGGAATATCATTGCATTAGCCTTATCTTGACTAGTTGATTCATTTCCACGTAAAATTGTATTTCCTAAACCTTTAACATCTAGGTAAATTTCAACATCTAACACCTAATATAGATAATTCTTTCTCGTAATATTAAGAGCTATAAACTTAAGTTTGGTAAGATTTGCTATGATTCAAACTAAAACAACAATAACAATTAGAATTATGAAAAAGTTAATTAATAAATATTGTAATAAAAAAATTCCTTCACAAAAAATGATAAATAGCCATAAATAAATTATAAAATATAATTCATAATAAAGCACAAAATAAAAATGCAAATATAAATAATCAAACTTACTAAATAAATAAAGCACAATAAAGATAAAGAAATGCAATAAAGCTAATAAATTGATCGATAGAGAAAATAATTCATATGATATAACAAATAAAATAAATTATATTAAAAACATAAATTGATTGATACACATACACACACATAAACAAACACAAAATGTATAAAAGATATATATATATATATATATAGTATAAATTTAATGGAGGACTAAAAAAATAAAGATGATATCAAATACATAAACATAAATAAAGAAAAATAAATATATCAATCTTTATAATATAGAACAACAAATAATAAAAATAAAGCAATGAATGGTCAATGAAACTTGATTAAATTAAATTACTAATTATATGATTATTTTCAAATGAACAAAACAAAAAAATGTAAAATTACTTTGTAACAAAGAAAGGGAAAATAGAGGAAAATAAAACAATATAATACAATAAATATATAAACAACATAACCATAAATGTTAATAGAACAATAATATAAAATAGGCTAAATTATATTTTTAGTTATTTAACTTTATATAAAGTTTTAATTTAATTTTTTAATTTTGTAAAGTATCTTTTTAGTCCTTTATCCTAATATCTTTGGTTTCAAATGATTATTTTTTTTATCAATCATTGTTATTTTTTAAAAAATAAACTTAATATGTCAACATTTGAGAATATTTTTTCAATATTTGAAATTTTAGTGTAAAAATTTGTTAGGATAAAACAAAGTGTTAGGGTTAAAGGATTAAAAAATATTTTATAAAGTTAAGAGACTAAAATGAAACATTGTGTAAAATTAAATGACTAAATGTATACTTTAACCTATAAAATATAATTATATAATATAAGAACACATTAATCTAGTTAAAAGCTCATGTCAGGAAGTGCGCAAAGAATAAGCAAAAATAAACAAGATAAAACAATTAAAAATTATAGAGAAGTTAGATAAAATGATAAAATATGACATAAGAAATTTAACTTGAGAAAATCCCGAATATGAGGGACAAAAAATTCACGGGCAACGAGCGAGTAATTTCATTATAAAAAATGAGAATTACAATAATTATCATTACTATGTGAGATGGAGAGACAAGATATATATAAAGCTTCTCATTAGCTAAAAATATTATCTTGGATAATAATAAATATATCCTAAAATATCAAATGGAGATATAATAGATTTATACTAAGATAATATATAACAACAACAACAACAACAAAGTATTATAAAGATTTGAGTCATAATCTTAACAACTCATACCTTATTTTTAAAGCCAATTCATGCTAATAAAGTGTTATAATATATGGTTAATATGAAGAGTAGAGAAGAACAAGACGATACAAGAAATGAAAGACAAAATAATGGAGGAGAATTCTTATTCACTTGGGTGCATATACTTTGGACATAACTTCTATTTTTAGGCGTCCAACCATTCAAATTCTGTCCTAATGTTAAATGTATATAAAGAGGCACATAATTGTGTATTATGTAGCATTTGAAAGTTATATGTTATGAACAACAAGAAACTCCTTTTATACCATTCATTAGGACATTAAAAATAAAAAAATGCTAAAAGTTATGAGTTATAGACATTCATAGCATAGTAATATTTATAATATTTATCAAAATTTCATCCATATTTTTTCTTCCATTAGGGGTGCATATTTTTCTATTTTTAAAAGATAAATTTTTATTTGTATCATACATTCTTAATTTGTGTTAAAAAATAATAAAAATATTTTTTTCATTTTAAGTGCTAGTATATCTCATTAATCTTACATGACAAATTCTTCTGGTAATATAATAAAATTTTAATAGGAAGGGGCTTTGAGGGGAAAAAAATAAAATTTGGGAGGTTAATTTAAAAAATTTAAAGGTGAAAAAAGTTATGCACATGAAAGTTTAACAGAATTTTGTATATTTTAAGCTAAAAACTATTTACTCTTTTTATGTACTTTCTCTAATCCTATTTATAAGTCTTTTCTAACATATATCATTGGAATCAAGGGAAACCTTTAATCTCATTAATCCTGTCCTAAAATTTTAATACATTTTCACTTCTACCTCCTAATAAGGACAAAATAAATTATTTTTTAATAATTTTTTCTAATATTTGAGAAGGGTAGTAAGGTAAAAATAAATATTGAAAGTAGCAAAATGCCTCATAAATATGATCAAAATTAATTTTTTCTGCCCTATACATAGAACTAGGGAAGTGCTTCCTCTATCTTTCTATATAATGTGTTTTTAACTAAATTGCATATACCAATAAAAAAATTTTAATTAGTTGAAAATTTATAAAATCACAACATCTTTTTAGTTTTACCCCTAATAAATGTTATAATTAATATCATGGTGGTTGGTAAATCACACAATTAATATGCCTTTCCCTTTTCAAGACAAGAGTAAAATTCTCCAATTACTCAAAATTATTATGACAACCCTTATATTTAAAGATAAGATAAGCATCTAGAGAACACTAGTAAAAAAAGAAAGATAGGCATCTAGAAAACATCTTATATATAGGGATAAAGGGAATATATCCTTATTTAATAGGATAAATTTATCACAAATAAATATGAAAAACCATTAATTTTGAATATTCATTAAGCACATTTTTTTAAAAATTATTAATTACTCTTCAAAACATCAAAATAACTTCTCCCATAAAAAAATATAAAATATTTTTAACTAAATTACACCCCTATAAGTTAGTTAATTATTCTTAATTAATATCGCATTTTCATATTGTCTTTGTTTGATATAGTGTCTCACTTAAAGGTAAATGATTAAGTAATTTTTTTACTAAGGATACTTTTGAAACAAAATTCATTAACCATTCATTAATTTTTGAGGAGTGTAAGCTATAAAAAATTTATTAAATTTTTAGGCAGAGTTAATAAAATTTATTTTTTTAATTTCAATGAAATATGTTGTAAGTGGCTTTTAAATTAGATTGAAGGGAGTATTTCATAAAAAAAACCAACTAAATGGGCTGAGGAAATTTAAATAAACATAGCTGGACTTAAAGTGAATGCTGGCCCAAACACAAGAGTCCAAGATTATAATCAATTGGGCTCAAACTATATGGCCTTAAGTAGTTAACCAGCAAGCTGACCCCATTTATGTTCATAGCCCCTTGCTGGTCTGCTGGAGCCAATTCTTGATCCGCTATAGAGCAAAAGTGAATGCGTGTCCAATACAGGAACCCAAGACTGCAAGATATTGGACCGAAACTATATGGGCTCAAGTGGTTAGCCCATTAAGCTGATCCATATGTTTTATAAGGCTGAAACTATATGGGCCCAAGTGGTTAGCCCAGTAAGCTGACCCCATATATTTCACAGCTCACTATCCCTTGCTGGTGTCAGGTCTCGTTCCGCCATGGCCATGGAAGCTTACGCGGCAGGAGACCCTGACAAAATCCAAACTGACGTCCTCTCAAAAGCCAGAGAAGCTTGCTACAAGGTCTCTTACTTCCCAATTCTCACAAATTTATATCTATATATACTCTTCTTCTATATGTTCATGTTTTTCTCAATGGAACTGTGGTGATTCATGCGCTATTTGATGAATTCTTCAAGGCTCGCGATGCTTTCTACGCGTGTTTGGAAAAAGAATCCGACAAGAAGCCCACTGAATTGCTTCGGTTGGTTTGTTATACCCTGTGGAATGCAAACAATCCAGGGCTGAATTTGTCAAACAATGCCGTTCTTCTTGGGTAAGATGGCTCTGATTGGTTTAATCTTTATTATGCCTTCAATGTATGATCTTTTGCTAATTGTGAATATTAATCTTTTGGCAGGTGAAACATTTCGATAGGCAGTTCTGTCAGAACAGGAGGGTTCAGAGGCTATTGGATGATAAAGGGTCGAGGAGAGGTTCGTCGACGCTACCGCAGCCTTACACTTTCAAGCCCACTGCTTAATGTTTTTCCTTTTAATACGTATTAACTTTTCCTATATAGATCATTTTATGATGGATAGAATAGACTGACCTCCTTATAGAACAATGCAAATCAGTTTCTTTAACAAAGCAACTAATTTGCAATAGGAAGCGTAATTAAATGAAGGGTACTCTTATTCGATTGAATTTATTCATTTTCAGGGGTGTAGCGATCGTCTTGGCCCCTGGGGAAGATGGAAGTGATCGTCATGATCTTTCCATGCGTGAATGTGGCATAATTATCTAAGTCATAGGCTGGAACAAGTTCTAGAACGGTTTTGATGATTTGCAGTGTTGCTGCATTTTAAATTGTTGGCTTCATCTGTCCTTGTGGCAGTAATAATTTATTGAACCTGACGATTTGTATTTCTTGTCTTAAGATTGACTGTTCATAATGTACCCGCTTCAATACATTTGTAAATTTTTCTTTTGTTCTCATGGTTCATGTACTTGGGGCTACTAAAATATTGGGCATTGGTAAGAGGAATAACTGAGAACCCTCATAAGCTTTGGGCCTTTTATGTTTTTTAGCGTACAGGAGCATGATTCAACTGGCGATCCTTTGTCCAAATCTTTTCACAAACTTGTAGACTTTCACCTAATATTGGTTCATAATTCACTGTTTGTGTTATGTAAGTCCGGGTGTATGTTGAGACTGAATATCCTGGTTTGAGACCCAATGCTACTATGGGGGTCCATTTGAACAGGTTCCCTATTTCTTCTCTGTTAATTTGGCGAGAAGCACGTTTAAAAATGATAATATAATTTTATCTCATAGCGTTGAAAGGGCAGGAGAAAATATAATATTATTTTAGCTCATAGTGTTGAAAGGGCAGGAGAAATTATAATTTAATTTTTTTATGCATGACAGAAAAGGTGATGAAATTTTAGGATGTATCACCAGCTCCCGAGTCCCTATGCTCAGAATATTCTTCATGCGAAACCCTAAGGCACGTCTACTTGAACCCAATTCCTCAATTCCTCATGTCTGTTTCCCTACATGCCAATTCCCAGGGTCATTTGACTATAATATATAATTGGATTACAAACAGATTCAGTGTATTTGCTTGTTGTTTCAGTTGATTGGCCCATCTCCCTTCTCATTATTATATCTGAAGATTCCATTTATTAATGATTGCATTGTTGTCAAAGATAAATCTTTGTTTGAAGAAGAAAAAAAAAAAAAAGAACCTGAGATTTTTCTTAATTCTAAACCTTCTGTTCTCAATTTGTTCCTGGAATGCAGTTAGTTAGTTTACTAAGCGGCTGCTTTGATGACCATTTGGGAAAATAGCTGAAAGATAAAATATCATTAGCTAATTGTTCTAAACAAAAGAAAACACTCGGATTTGTCCCATTATGGTTTTCTTGTATGTTGTTGAAATAAAGTAGGTTAGACATGCAGGTTTATCTTTTCAAAAGTTCCATTACAGATGTAAGATTCTGTATTTTGTGAATCAGATATGCTTGTTGAATGGGGACACCAAAGGGAGCATTTATCTTCTCTTAGAGGTGAAATTGAAGTAGATTCAACTTACTCTTCCATTGAGCCTGAAAAATATTACTTATTCTAAGAATGTCATCTGGTCAAGTTACTGAGGGACTGGGATATTTTGGGGCTAAAAGAAGAATCATACCAGCCCTTATAGCCCCATTATAAATTTTACTCTTATGCATGTTACTGAAAATAGAACGACTATAAAACTTACAAGATTAACACAATAGAGGTGCTCTCTGACTCTGACAGAACCCTTTCTTCTTCGGTTACTGGAAGTTTTGATTGATGCATAAAAGGAAATATTGAAGGTTTGTAGTTGATGACTTAATTACTAGCTTATCTTGACTAGAATCACTCGTAATGTTTGAATCAAAAATACTATTACGGGAGAATTATATTCAAGTCTATGGGCATTCTGATGTTTAATTGCTAGTTCATTGACAACTTTGCATAACAGAATGATAATTAAAAATTTGTCAATGGATTTTCTTATATTTAATTGTGTTGTGGGGGATCTAAACATGATGGAATGATCATTGTTTCTTCTACTATTTTGCTTCTAATATGATTCATGCCTCGTGCAAACTGCTAAGAAGCCGATTAAAAATGGCGAGTTTAAAAGGGAAAAGAAATTTAATGCATGCTTGAAATTATGTTGGCAAGTAAGCCAAAACTACGTTTTAGTAGAAACAATCCTTGGGTTGCTTTTGCCAAAACTAGCTTTGACTTATCCCAAAGTGATTTCAAACATATCTTGAGATCCTTTTCTTCATGTTGCAAGTATGGTTGTCATATTTATAAGTTTTACAACCAAGGGCAAGCTATGCTGATACTTCATTTGTTGAATTTTTGTCAAATCTCAGCGTACGTGATGACATTGTTGTTAAACTCTTGGGATAATTATTTGAATTTACTGTTTTTATGTTTTTAATTTATAAAATCGTGTTAACTCGCTTACAAATTCATATTAGATAAAATTTGGTTAAACTCACAAGTTGACATTTCGAGTTCATTATTTTTATGTTTCTAACTTATAAAATCATGTCAATCTATTCATAAACTTGTTGAGCAAGATGATAAGTATATATTATGTAGAACTTAGTTCATAGAAATAGTAAGAACTAGTTTAATGAAAAGTAAAACTTGAAAAAATAAAAACTAATATTAATAAAAAAGAAAACAAAAAATACAACAAATAAGTTGTTCTATTTTGAAATTTCTATGTTAAGTATAATAATTTATGGATGTAAATGGATATAATTTTAATGATTTATATTCAAAATATGTTTAAATCAAACTATAGTCATATTTTATATTTTAATTATTTAATAATATATTTTTAAAGGTTATATATTAATAGAGATAAACTCTTATGAGTTGATAATTTAAATATATATTTTGAATTTACATTTCTATCATGAGAGAGTTTAACAACCTTGCCTAATGGCGTTGAGGGTTTAATATTGTTGACACAAATATTTTGGTTGTGTCCCTATATTAATTAAATATCTTATTAATTTCTCCCTCCATCTTAATAATCAAATAAAATTTTGGATAATATTAGAATCAGTTGAAATCAACTCATTCCCACCCCACAATTCAAAAGTAAAAAGCTACTAAAGCTGTGTTTGCAAAATAAACCTTCAATTGAATTTCAAATAGGTTTTCGTATTTATGCAATAAAAATACAAGCAATATTTGCATTCAGATGACATGTGAAAAGGACTTTTTGAATGTAAAAGTCTCTTTCCAAACATGCCCTTAGAATCCCAATATATCTACAGAAACCTTAGCCCTAAAACTAGGGGATTTTTCATTGATTAAGATGGCTGGTATATGGTATAGAGCATAAGAATGGATGGTTGTTAAATAACAAGATTATGAATCTCCCAGTTCACATAACATTGTCTCCAGCTCAAGTGTTATTTAATGTTGTCTTGTTCATAAATCAATTCAAAGTATCTTCATTCTTGATATGTTTCTGTTGTACGGATAGATCCCTATTGTCACACACATACTTTTAGCCCTTGGGGTAATTTTCCTGGGTGTGCAAGAAAATTCCAACCCCATGTGCTTTGGACGTTGACATGTAATTAATTATACCAACAGATAGCAGATTCGGCAAATCAAATCATGTTGATTTTTGTGTCCAGATTTGCCTGCTCAGATGAATACACCTGCGATTTACCACTGTTTGTGGGCTCGGTTATATTCTTTCTTATCTAAAATATAAGTATTTTTTTAAGTTAGTCCTAGTTTAAAATATAAATAATCTAGCATAAAGGAAAAATATTTTTTTATTTCATCCCTTATATTTATTAACCCAAATATTTATATAAATATATTTCTTACTTATTATAGAGTGTATTGATAATTAAGATTAAGGATAAAAAAAAATAATGTACTCCTTCTGTTAAAAAATATAAGGCATTTTTAATCGAATCTCACCTCAATAAAGTAATTAATTACTTTTAAACTAATCCTATTTTTTCATATTTACCTATATTAAATATCTTATAATAAATATAAAATCATTATCAATAGGGATACTTTCGAAAAAAAAGATAATAATTATACCTTGAAAGAGTAAAAATACCTTATATTTTTTAACATCTAATTCCTCAAAAAATGTAAGCCTTATATTTTTTAACAGAGGGAGTATGTTTTTATAAAAATGAAAAATTTATTGATATATAATTTTTTTTAAAAAAACTATTTATATTTTAGATTGAAGAAAATATTACCCCGTCCGCTCTTGCATACCCACCAAGGCTCCAAGAGAATTTTTGGAGGGATCGCTTGCTACGATTCATAAGAGACTCCAACTACGTGTTTGGAATATTTATTAGCATTTTTTATTGTTGTCTTTATTAAAAAAATGAGAATTTTCAGTGAGATTAATCATTAAAGGTCACAATTCAACTACATAAATAACGGTATTTTCAGAAAATAATTTGCATTATTTTTACATCTTTATTGCATTTAGCCAATTTTAACAATTTTTATTTATTTATGCGGTTCTATTATTTGTCTATCATAAAAAAGGACTAGATAGAGTATAAGATATGGTTAACTAATTTGCAGAAACTAAGAAAATTTGTTAAGTTACTAGATAAAATACCCCTAGAGAGAGAGAGAGAGAGAGAGAGAGAGAGAGAGAGAGAGAGAGAGAGAGAGAGAGAGAGAGAGAGAGAGAGAGAGAGAGAGAGAGAGAGCGTTAAATGTGGCAGACAAAGAGAATGAGAAAAATTGTAAAAGTAACAAGGATAATTTAAAAAAATTGAAATTTTATGTTTAAAAACAAAACAAATCTAAATAGGTCTTATATTTAAGATTAGATGGAGTATCATATTGAAAGAGCTTGGTTAGTTAACTCAGTCAAATTCTTGGAATGGTCACCTGGTCAAACTCAGATTTGAATTTAGTGAGTGATTTAAGTTTACTGACTTAGTAAGTGTCTCAATTACAGTGGTTGGATTTTATCAATATTTAAAAATTATCAAGATATATTTTTCTCTAAAAGTTCAAAACAATTCTCATGATCAGGACACTCCTTATATACATTGCTCTCTTGAAACATCTGAGATTTAATACTTTATGAGTATTATATGATAAAATATTTGAAAGTTGTTTAATTAAATTAATTAGTTATTATCATGTCATGGAGACACTTAAGGATACTCATCGGATCCAAATCTGTAAAACTCTTAGATCCTTGATTGCTCAACGCAGGATGTGTAATTAGTTAATTTAATGAAGAGGCGGACCGAGTGAGCTATAAATAGAAGCATTTTTTTTAGTGTACATCTTACGGTCTTGTTTGGAAGTACATTTTATTTTACGGTTAATGAATAAATAGGATCTTGAACTCTTACAATGTGCAAAATAAATTCTAAATTTTTAAATTTATAGTAAACTAAACCCCAACCATTAACTTTTTTAACATCATTACTGTTTATGCAGGATTGTTCACCATGGGTCTTAATTAATGTTGACGTGTCATTGTAAATTAACACCA